ACCCCCCCCCCCCGCCCACCAACCTTGTGTGAGTGCACAATGGTCTGTGCAAATATGGTTTTAAAAAATGAAAAAAAAGAGGATTCCTAATGCCTCAGCCCCAATTCAGAATCAAGGAGACCCTCCTTTCCGGGCTGAGGGTCTCATTTGACCTTTGAGTGACAAAGGGGGGCACACTCCCAAAAGGTAACATCCAGGAGAAAAACAAAGTTGGATCTCATTTCATTTAAATTGCAACTTCAAATAATATTTTTAATAGGATGGCCACCCATAGCATTGATAATTCTCACCTTCCATCCTATTAAAAAGCACAACTTAGCAGCAAATTTTTAGTGGGGATGTGGGGAGTGCATTCAAATCAGAGGACCTCAAGACTCCCTCAGGTCTCTGGCTGTGTTGCAGAGAACCTAAAACTGAAGGAAGACAGTTCTCCAGAATCAGAAGTGCTAATGTTAAGTTTGCAAAAGACAAAGAGCAAAACCAAGAAGCTTTTCTCCAATGGTATTCAAATAGGTTGTCCATGTTGGTGGGTGGGTGTGAAAATTTTGAGGGTGTTGATTGGCTGGTGAATACCCAATGGGATGCATTTCCTACCTTACCTTCTAAGATACAGGCACCTCTCCTATGTGAGGGGGGGAATAAAGCCCACTCGCTTCCCTGAAAGGGGGACCACAATGAAGTTTACACACCATGGCTCTTTGGTGGCTTAAGAAGGAAAGGCATTGGTTTTGTGGAACACAAAAGAAACAGATACAGTCATTTAAATCATGGCCTGGAGATGAAGTAGGGTCAGTATCATGGGAGCAGAAGCTAAAAATGGGTTGGCCAGGTTGCTCTGTTGCAGTTGAAAATCAGATGTCAGGAAAGTTGTAAAAAGAAGCCAAGAAACAAGATTATCAGTGGAAACAGAAGACACTAAAGTCAGTCCAGATAAAAGTGATCTTTGAATGCACACTTCGATAACAATAGGTTAGTTGTCCAATTGCCAAAGGCTGTTATCCACACAGAACCCCCTTATGGAGTTTCTGGAGATATCTGGCCAACCATCCTGGGATACAGAAGACTCTGTCATGGATGACAGAGAGAGGGTGGTATGCAGTTCAGGCCATGACCCCCAAGACCCCAGGAAGAAGATGCAGGGAAAGGCAAGAGCACGCTTCTTCTTACAAGGAAAAATGGATTTACCCACCTGGATGAGCAACAGATCATGGAGAATGGTGTCTTCGCTGCTCCCTGGGTGACGAATGAGCCGACGGACTCTGTATAGACGCTTGGTCGGTTCAGGTTGGGAGAGGGTATGGGCTCCCAAGAGGACCTGGAAGGTCCCATTTTTCCTGCACCAGAGATTGTGGTTAGCGTGCACAATCAGGTTCCCCAGCTATCTTAAGAGGCCTCTAACTTGCCTCCTTCTCACACAACCCTTTGGAGAAGAGACATCCTGTCCTCCATCATTTTTAGCTTTATTTATGTTTCAAATTAAAAATGGAAATGTAAAGACTTAAAATCTTAATGGAATCTGTTCAGCTGAGTTCTAGGTTTGATTGTTTGTGATTCTAAATATAACAGAATTACATCTGATCAAGAAGAAAACCAAATTAAAGATAAATGGGTAAAAATAAGCCTCAATGGATAAAAATAAGAGCTCTAAGTATGCCAAGTCTGAACTATGACATTTCTTGAAATTGGTTTCCATGTCAACATATGATCTGGTTTGTTAATTATCTTAAAAGGTAATCAAAGGGGTCTTACTAGTCAGTCGAAATACATGAGGGGGTGGCTGAGTTTACACCTTGGGCTAAACTATGCTTGCTTAAACAAAGTTTGCTGAATAAGCTACATTCACAGCGGCTGTGTTTGCATAACTCAACTGAGTTACTGAGTTAACTCATTTTCTGTGTTCACACAATAAATTGAATTAGAAACTTGCCAAATGAGCCATAACACCTGAAACCAGTGTTTTTCAAACTTGCAAACTTTAAGATGTGTGGACCTCGACTCCCAGAATTCCCCAATATGCAGCTTCCTTTGTTTTTTTTTGCTTTTTATGGACTAGGTTCTCCTCTCCTCTAAACCATTGCCAATAATTAAGACAGCAGATGCAACCAAATGGTTGCCTCCTTTTAGGGAAAGGAGTGAGACTGTGTGGTGTGTTCTGTCTCCTCTGTCTGCTCATTTCTGAAAATTCAAGCTGGTCCAAGGCACAAGAAGAGGCAGGGCCGGTCCTTTTCCTGGCTGGTCGACAGATTCCCTGCTGTTACACCGCCGAGAGAAAAAGAGAGGCCCATTCACACAGAAAACGGGCTTTCTATCTCTGGTCACTCAAGGAGCAGAAATCCCACACTCACGTATCCTCCAAGCAATGGGCCGCACTCAGCACCCACTGAGCAGCGATCAGGAACCCTCCACAGAGATGCGTCCCATCCTCCTGCAGAGATGCCATGTAAGGCCTCTGATGGGGGGCACTCTCTGATCCCCCCAGGATACGGCCCCTGGGACGATCCGCTGTGAGGGAGAAAATGTTGAGTGTTAGCCAGCATCATAGAAAACTACCTGACTTCTGCCCTAGAGTCAGGCAGAAACATGCATAGAACTGCATTTCAATATACAGGTAGTCCTCGACTTATGACCATAATTGGGACTGAACTGCCATTGCTAAGTGACGTGGTCATTAAGCGAGTCACGCCCAATTTTACAACCTTTTTTGTCATGATCATTAAGCAAATCACACAGCTGTTTAGTGAGTTCGACTTCCCCCATTGACTTTGCCTGTCGGAAGCCGCTGGGAAAGTCACAAATGGTGATCACATGATCCCAGGATGCTGCAACTGTTGTAAATACATGCCAGTTGCCAAGGACTTGAATTTTGGGCACGTGACCACAGGGACACTGCAATGGTCGTAAGTGTGAGGGCTGGTTGTAAGTCATTTTTTTTAGGCGTGTTGTAACTTCAAATGGTCATTAAACAAATGGTCATAAGTCAAGGACTACCTTTATGATTGAGCAGGCTGGTGGGAATGGAATGTGAGTTATAAATCCCAATGGCCACCAACCTGGGGGAGAGGTGGCATGAAAATGCTGCAGGATCAGGTCAAACACCCCCTTTACATCCCTTAGGCTGGTCCAAAGTAGGTCTGCAATTGGTCAGAGTGCCCTTAATTGGATTTTTTCAGAAGCAAAGAGAAAAAAAAAGATAACTGTCTCTCTTTTGGATTAAAAAAAATATTAGAACTAAATTCACCTGGGGTTTTTTTGCAGACCCTGGAGACTTCTCCCACTACAGTGGTGGAAAAACAATTTTTCTGCCCCGTTGAAACAGGAAACACATGAAAACAATAGTGCAGTCCCTAAAATAGGCTTAAAAGTAGTTTTTAAAAAGCACATTCCCAAAGGTCTAGGAAAAAAATGAATCCTTGGCTCTGCCACTTGCATGACAAAGACACATCAGTTTTGCAGCATGCCCCATCTACTCTGGTCTTTGCTTTTGTAAAACAAATGTTAAGGGTCACCACTCCCATGAAAGTAAATGGGCCCAGTATCAGCCTTTGCCCACTAAATACCACCAACTGCTATTTAGAGACAGACTGCCTCCATCCATGGAGGTTCCATTTACTTCTTGGCTTATAGACGTTGCTCGATAAATGCCTCCATGACTCTGCCTCATTTTGTAGAGCCAACAGAAGCTGTATTATAGCCTGGGTAATCAAATGATGGGAAGGGAAGGGTATCTAAGTTCTCAGAGCCCAACCTCCAGCTCTCAGGATCAGCTCCTCCATAGGATAAAGACCAGGATAAAGAATCAGCGCAACAGTTTGATAAGTGAGCCAAGTTATACCGTTCTGGAAAACTCTCTTGTCATTTCTTTTAAAAAACGAAGCAGGCTCCCCCCAGAAGTTCCTTATAGCTTCCTGTGTGATTTGTGGTTCCCACATTTCTTCCCTCCAGTGATTGCACGCAAGTAAATCTGCCACATTTTTCAAGGTCGCAATCAGCTCATGCCTGCCATAACTTTCCTTTGTATCTCCTAGGAGTGCACCTTGCTTGAAATCTCTGCTTTTTCAAATCCAGCAACATGCAAAAAATGGTCTGGTAAATCTAATCTGTGCAGCCTCTAAAAGTTCATTATTTGGGGAATAGGAAATGAAGCCTGCTCCCGCTCATAATACATTTTGAATAGAATACTATTCAAGTTTGAAGAATAGAATACTTCAGCTATTCAAGTTTGGCTGTGCGTACGCAACAAATTAGACCACGAAACAGCTACCCACATTTTAGACTAGCTTGTGGTTGCCAAAACAGTCCCTGCGATTTGTAGTTGGTTCAGAAAGTTGGTTTAATTGCATAAACCTGGTTCAGTTAACCATGGGTAAGTAAGACAGACCAAACACAACTTCTGAGATAGAGCAAGAAAGCTACAGCCAGCAAAGAGGAAGGAATAAAAGAGTGTCAATCAGCTTACCACATGCAGAGAAGATGCCCAGGAAAATAATTAAGATCCAGAAGGAGGAACTGACCATCTTTTAGCTCAGGACTGCGGTCTACCCTTTCCCTGAATCTATTGCCGTCTTTTATGCTATCCTGAAACTCAGCATGACCCAACTTCAAATTTCCAGGAAGACCTCTGTTTTGATGAAGAATGTTGTCCTCAAGGTCACCACCCGGACTGAGAAAACAAAGAGAAAAATGATACACCCCACTGTTTGCTTTGGCCCTGAGCTTGACAGAAGCTGCTTGAATTCCTCTCTGAAAATGAACTTTGAGAAAATTGTTTGCTTTTGGTTCAAACTCTGCCTTTTGAAATACAGATAGTATCCCTACTTTGAAGACTCCTGCCTGCAGAGATGGGGCTGATGGGGAGGGGGACAGGGACTCCAATTAGTTTTTCTTTTCCTCCAATGGAGTCTTTAGATGGAGACTGGAGGTGAGACAGCGCCAATTTGTCTAAAATGTATTTTTTGTACACTAGAAAAGTCTCGCTTGTTTGGCCCTAGGATCAGATTGTTCTGTGCCCACAGAATGAAACTTATCAGAGGCAAGTACAAAGTTCCTCAACTAGGAAACAGAAAAAAAAATGTGCAGGCAATTTATTTACTTATTTAATCGATTTTTATGGCTGTCTCTCTGGCAAATGCAACTCTAGGCAGCAAACAACATGTTAACACAGTGTATTTAAAAAAAAAAAAAATCCCCCTCTCACCTGTATGGGTGGTATGTATTTTCCTCAGCCTCTGCTGCAGGGTTCCTCAACCTTGGCGACTTGAAGACGTGTGGACTTCAACTCCCAGAATTCCCTAGCCAGCATGGGAATTCTTCCCTCAATAGAGGTGGAGGCCTCAGACACAACTTGCCTCCATTTTCCATGCTGCTCTTTCATCAGTCCCCCAGGAAGATTAAGGCCACTTCACAAGGTCACCAGGGAGGCAGCACTTAACGACCCACTTGGGGATGAGGGAGGGATTAGGAGTCAGACATCCCCATCCCAAAGACTCTACTAATCACTTCTCCTATTGTCCCTTCAAGGGACATCATGTCAGTGAGGAGTGCAGCCACCTTGGAAGATATTTATGGGCTCCCCCCAACCAACTTTCTAGACTGAAGAAGCTGCTTGGACAAGCAGCAAAACGTATCAGGTCAAAAGAAAAGAAGTCCAGTTGCAATGACTCAACCTCCAGACGCTGGTCTATAGTGACATAAAATCAGGAGGAGTCTGGAAGTATTTTGTCCAGCCAACACATTTTATTAAAAAGCAGCTTTCATGCATCTTCATCTGATGAAGGAATAGGCAGCTCATGAAAACTGCTGCCTTTTCATAAAATTGTCACTTGGAAAAAAGGTGCTGCTGGACTCCTCTGGATTTATTACAGTACTAATCTGTGTCACTAGATGGCGCTCATCCTTTGTGAGTCAGACCTGACTAGGGTTTTCTAAAGAAAACGGTAAAGAAAACAGTCTTCTATCATGGGTGCATCACCTTGCTACCAAGACTCTTGAAAAGATCTCTGATTTGGGATAACTTCTCAGATGGTTTTATGTTTTTAGGTGCCTACGATACCCCTTGGTCGTTATAGGGAAATGGAACTTCCATGTACGAAAGCATTCTACCTCTGAGTCAGACATGCTAGGGCCAAGAGTAAAAGAAAGCCATTGTTGTGCATGCATTGAATTATTTTACTGGGTTCGATGGACCCCCTTTGCTTTCGATATGGCCGAGATCTTCATTAGAGACTGCAGCTCCTTTACAAGAAGTCCTTGTTTAGGGACCACAGTTGGGACCAGCAACTCGGTCGTTAAGCAAAGTGGTTGCTAAGTGAAACTGCAACAGTGCTTATGATCTTACTTCAGCTTTCCTTTGTTTACAGACCTGCAAAGGTTGTAAATGCCAGGACTGGTGGTAAAGTTAGTTTTTCATCACTGTAGTAACTGCGAATGGTTGCTAAATGAGGCAGTCGCTAAACGAGGACTACTGGTAATTTTAGCAAACTAGCTCAGGTACAGCTAAGTGGGGTCCTGGGCTGCAAATCCAGAAATCCAAATTTAAAAAGAAGGACGTCTGGTTCTGGTGATGCAGTTGGAGATGTTCAACTAGAGCAAGAGATGGTGTTTGGAATCTGCACCCATAGAGATGACCCTGTTCTCCCCCTTACAGATGACCCAAGGCAAACAGTGGAATCTTCCCCCCCCCCCGCCCAGGCTTCTTTTGAAATGTCCCAGAAATGTCCCAGTCCATCCTTTTAATCAATCCTGCTGTTGCTAAGCAACCAGGCTGGCCACCTTCAAGGGAAACCGGTTTGCCACGCAGGACACGCCCCCCTTGCTTCCACCTGGCTTTGATCTTGGTTTTAATTTAAACCTTTTCCCCGGGTTTTGCCTTGAATGCTTCACAGGGCAGCTGATCAAGCGCATTGTTTGAGAAGATGCCTTTGGGGGGAAAAAGGCGTAATCACAGATAAAAATGCCAGCCCGAACCATTGATTGATCCTCAGAGCAGCCAGCCTAGTGCTGCAAAAACATAGGGTGATTTGTAGCTGGGCTGTCAGCCTGCGTGGTCGTCCAACAAAGAATTGAGATCCCCAGAATAAAGGATGGATTTGCTTAGAGGGTCTTCTGTTGAATCCACAATTAACTCTGGATGTTGAAAATCAGGCTCTTGGGTTTGGAATCCAGTCTTTGGAGGGGGAACTGATCTGAGACAAAAGTACTCATATTTTAACCCAAAACTCTGATATCCTGTGAGCACAGGATAGATTGAAACTTCTCATTACCATATGGAAATGTGCGTGTGTATAATTCAGAATCTACGGGGCTGATTGCATCTTCAAAAAGCCAGGGAAGACCCCTAGAAATAGCCAGTGGTATTTTGCTCTTCTGAGTCCCTGTTCAGTTGCCATGGGGACTGAATATACCTAGATATGCAAAAACACCTTGGTTATAAGAGCAATAGTCCTTGGAAAATGTCTGGGCTCTGAAGCTAAGCAGGGTTGAGGCTGGTTGGCAATTGTATGGGAGACCTAGCCTGGGAAGTCAAAACAACATCACCAGAAGAAGATGATGGCAAGCCATTGCCACATTGCTGCCATGAAAGCTACACAAACCTGTCCATTAAATAAATCACCAGGCATCAAACTTGAGATGAAGATCTTATACGCTAACAAGCAGCCTTTCGCAACTTGATGCCCTCCCGATATATTATGTCAGAATGCCACTGCAGAACCTCCCCATAGAGAGATATTACCCAATAATAATGTAAACTACCAGTGGAAGTTCTCACATAGTCAATAAAAAAAAACATGATAACAAATCTGACAATTGCAAAAACAACAGAAAGTCAAAGAGAAACCACAAAATCCATTCTGTAGGCTAGAGGTTTTGTAGACTGTTTCTGTGCACAGGGCTCTTAATTGATGTGCCTTTCTCCTTTCCAGCCTACAGAACGGACTTCGCCATAAATTTTACTTACCTGAAATTCTTGGATTTCATGAGAGCTTGTCTAAATGATTAATTCCTGCCTGGGTGGTGAAACCTGATGATAACTAAGGCAATGCTTGCAGAAAGAATGATGATCAATTAAAATGAAATAAGTTGTTGCACAATATTGTAAACTTTAGAGAGTTGGATGCACAGAACCAGACATTGAGACAGATATATCCAAAATAATTTATTAATGGAGGTTTACCTTAGATGGTTATAAGTTTTATTCAACTTTAATTCCAATTTAAACATAAATATTCAATTAGAAATTGCAGTCTTAAAGATAAAATTCAACATTCACCTTCTATAGAATGGTGTTTTTCAAAGTTGGTGACTTTAAGATGTATGGACTTCAACTCCCAGTTGAATTCTGGGAGTTGAAGTCCACACAGTCCACACTTCTTAAAGTTGCCAACTTTGAAAATACTGTTCTGTAGGATGGAAGTTGTGTGCTTAAACTTTGGTGGTAAAGGGTGGTATAATATAATTTCATGGGAATTTTTTACAAGTTATCATCATGACCCCAAAATTTAGTAAACAGTTGTGATGTTAGCCTAAATAATATTTTGGAAACTTGATAAATATGAGTCGGTGATGGAATTAAGCAGTTTCTGCAAGAGCAGACCTCCATGCCTCTGACGATCTGCCAGACGGCTTGATAGAAAAGCACTGATCAGCAGATGGACTCAGAAAAGCTGTTTTGTCATTATGAGAAATGTTTAGGAAATACTGTCTTTGTTTCCTTTAACACTTTAATGTTTGTATGTTCTTGGGAAAAATTTATTGAAATCAATTAAAAAAACCCATGGATTCAAGGATTCCTGCAGGGTAATTATTGTTAGTCCAATACCTGAATCCAATTTGTACACCAATGTTAAGTGTATATATTTTTATATTTTAATGGTTCGGGCAGTAGGGTGCCATTTGGGGTTGAGGGGTGAGGAATGTGTAGCTTTTTAAATGGCAGGCCGGGGGTCATGTCCAAAAAGTATGCAGAATCAGGAGAAGGAATTAGGTCAGACCAGAAAAAAATACACTTTAATGTTATTTATATTGCGGAATTAAAATTAACTTATTTGAATACCGTTAGTATGGCAGGGGGTAGTACCTTGGAACCTTGTCTGAACTCAAAAAACTAAGCAGGACTGGATGTGGTAAGAACTGGATAGGAGACCACTAGGAAATCTCAGGGAAGTTGGTTGGACGGGCAAGCAGAAAAAAAAAAAATCTGGAAGAAGGGAATTGTACTTCAGTACTATTGCCAAGAAAACAAGATAAATGTGCCCTGTAGTCCCCAGGTGTTGAACTTCACCCGAGGAACATCAAAACGTAGGAACAGAAGCAGTGCCCTACTGGACCAGACCCCTGGCCCACCTAGTCCAGCAGTCTGATGTCACAGTGGCCCACCTACTGCACAGGGGCGCCCACTAGTCTCCCAGCAAATGGCCTTCAGGCAGTCCCACTGACATCAAGGCGAATAGCCATTGATCCCCAGGACTTCCATGAATTGGTCCAACCCTTTTTTGAAGCCAGCCAAGCTGGTAGCTAGCACCACATCTCATAACAGGGAATTCCAAAGTTTAAATATGAGTTGTGTAAAAAATAATTTCCTTTGGTCTGTCCTGATTCTTC